GAAAGGGTACCTCGTAGATAGGCAGGTTCATCTGTCGCCCGTAGGCCCAGTACATGTACGGGAAGAGGAGGATCCGGCACAGGAAGAAGGTGACCAGGATGAGGATCCCGTTGATCTTATGCAGGAGGGAATCTTGCATTTTCACCTGTAACCCCACCCCCCAAAAAAGGAAATGTTGAGAAGGTTAAAGGAGAAGCAACTGCTGGCCCACAAATAAGAAGATCAAGGCCGGGAGAAATTCCAGCAGCTGCTCCTTTAATTCCCGCACTGGGCAGGAGGCTGCCTGCTGCATCCCTGTACGATTTCTGTTCCGACTTCCTTCCCTTTCAGCCTTAGTACAGGTAGTCCTCGAACTGTGCCTCATTTTACGACCTCTTTTGCCACCATCGCAAAGCAGATCACGGCATCTATTAAGTGACCACCATCTATAACGTTCCCAGCCAGCTTCCAACAAGCAATGTCAATGGGGGAAGCCACTTTCCCTTAAGGACTGCGTGATTCACTTAACGACAGCAGCGATTTGCTTAACAACCACAGCAAAAGAAAGGTCGTAACATGGGGCTAAGCTCACTTAACAGCAGCCTTGCTTAGCAAAGGAAAATTTGGCTTTAACTGTGGTCGTAAGTTGAGGATTACCCGTATTTAGCATTTTAATGGTAAGCCATCCTGAATCGCTTTGCAGAGTGCGACGGGCAGCGTCTAAATTTAATACAGCTAGCCAAAATTTCTGTGGCTAAGTGAGACTGTTGTTAACTGAATTTTGCCCCATTTTTATGACCTTTCTTGCCGCAGTTGTTAAGTGAATCACTGCAGATGTTAAGTTAGTAACACGGTTGTTAAGTGAATCCAGCTTCCCCATTGACTTTGCTGGTCAGAAGGTCACAAAAGGGGATTGCGTGACCCTGGGGGACGCTGCGACCGTCATAACTATGAGCCAGTTGCCCAGCGTCCAAATTTTGATCACGTGACCCTGGGGATGCCGCAACGGTGGTGTGAAAAATGGTCATAAGTCCCTTTCGTCAGGGCTGTTGCCACTTTCACTAAATGAACGGTTGTAAGTTGAAGACTATCTGTAAAAAAAATAAAGAAAGAGATGGAGGTTCCAGGTGTTAAATGCTCACCTGAATCAGGATCTTGCCCAGAGACACAAACGGGGTGCTGAGCTCGGCCGTGAAGATGCAGCCCACGAAAAAGTCTCCGAGTTCACCACGCAGATGCTGTAGGCCGAAAGAAAAAAGAGAGAGAGAGAGAGATGGGGTGGGTCCAGGGGACAAGATGTTTTAAGCCAGGGGTCTTCAAACTCGGCCCTTTTATGACTGGTGGACTTCAACTCCCAGAATTCCTTAGTCAGCCATTTTGATGAAACCGCGGGCTTAGATCCAGACCAGGGGTCTTCAAACTTGGCCCTTTGATGACTGGTGGATTTCAACTCCCAGAATTCCTCAGTTGGCCATTTTGATGAAACCGCGGACTTAGATCCAGACCAGGGGCCTTCAAACTCGGCCCTTTGATGACTGGTGGACTTCAACTCCCAGAATTCCTCAGTCGGCCATTTTGATGAAACCGCGGGCTTAGATCCAGACCAGGGGTCTTCAAACTTGGCCCTTTGATGACTGGTGGACTTCAACTCCCAGAATTCCTCAGTCTGGCAGGTGAGAGGCCTAGGTGTTTTGCAGCCTTCAAGCAATAACCCCCAGGGTAAAATGAAGGTGGCTCAAAAGGGAAGGCTTTTTTTGTTGGGAACACTTCAGAAGGTTGAATGGAGCAGTATTAAAACTCGGAAGGGAAGGGAAGGGAAGGGAAGGAAGCAGGGGTGGGATTCAGCCGGTTCCCACCACTTCAGCAGAACCAGTAGCTAATATTTTGTTGTCCAGGCCCAGAACGGATTTCCGGGAGTGGCATCCACACAGAGAACCGTTGCTCACATATTTGAATCCCACCACTGGAAGGAAGAGGGAAGGGGAGGGGAGGGGAGGGGAGGGGAGGGGAGAGAAGGGAAGGGAAGGGAGAGGAGAGGAAGAGGGAAGGGAGAGGAGAGGAGGGAAGAGGGAAGGAAAGGAAAGGAAAGGAAAGGAAAGGAAAGGAAAAGAGGAGGGAAGGGAAGAGGGGAGGGAAGGGAAAGAACAATGGAATGGAATAGAATAGAATAGAATAGAATAATGAAAGAATGGAATAGAATAGAATAGAATAGAATAGAATAGAATAGAATAGAATAGAATAGAATAGAATAGAATAGAA